CGAATTAGCCTAGACACAGCGATGATTGCTATTACTTTGCCCCCCACAATCATTCGCTTTACGGGTAATTGAGACTAGCAAGCTCTAGAAATCTAGAGGATCTAGTATAGTATAGTTTATTTCATCAGCTAGCATCTAGTACTTCTAGTATTTCTATCTCCTCAAAAGAGGTCAGGCACATGAATTTTGTATGACGCAATAAAATATTGTTTTTTTTTGTTTTGATTTCATCTCAATCGCTGGGACTGAGCGACGACTGTCTCTATTTACTTTGATGGCTTGTTAATTTATTCGACATGTTACGGAGAGCCCCAATTTAAATGTGGTAGCCCGATTGGAATTCGTATTTCTGTAGTCATATATATTTATAAAGTTAGCAACCAAATATACGAACACTACAATGTTGCCAAATCCTAGGTGGAAAAGTAGAGTTGCAAGCGCAAATCGAACAGACATAAATAACATTAATAATTGACTGGTCATAAAACGATATAAAAACAAACACCCGCCAAACTTGCTGCTAAATTGTATTTATTTCACGTCTAAATTCCGTAACATATTGGAATCTTGTTTATTCGGTTGTCAAGTCAACAAAAGTGTTTAGAAAAAAAGTAGATAAGGTGCCCGGCTGGCTTGGTAAATAGAGAGACGGATCTAATCTTGCTGGCCCACAAATTTAAACTTGAAACTCATGGCGATATTGATATAGTGTTTTTTTTCCCCACCCCCTTTAAAGATAAGTTTATGTAACGTCAAAAACTATTTTTCATAAGCGAAGAAGATAACATAACCTGCTGGCAAAATGGATATGTTTGACGGCCTCTGTGCAATGCAATTAATATGTTGTATGTTTTTTATATTCTTGTTTGACTTTTGATACTCATCACATTAATCTCCGAATCTCGGAAAGATCGCTGCCAAAGATCACGTCTCACGAAAACAAAATGATGCTCTTACACCTCTCGGCTCGGCTGCTGTGGTGTGGCAATCTCAGATTTCTTGATTTCGATGGAATTTTTTCTTGCCCACAGTCAGACGACGCACATAAATAAGTACTGCGCCAGCCAAGGCAGGTAAGTAGTCAACGTCATATAATGCGCGTGAGTAATCATCATTAGCGTCAATTGGAACTGCTTCAAAATGCCCACAACATTGCGGGGTTATGGGGTTTAAATAGAAATATTACTGCTGATCATTAAATAATGATAAGGTTAACTCTGCTCTGCTGATAAAACTTTGCTGAATGACTTTTATAATTACCGATGGTAGAAAACTGCAAAGACAGATAGTCAGTTTAATCTTAAACACTCTTTTTGATAAATGTTACTTTTTGTATACAATATATATAAATATATATATTAAGAAATAGTATATATATATAATATACCAGTTTTACACCATGTGTTATAGGAGTGTCGTAAACCCGAGGTAATTGCCTGGCGGCCTAATGAGAGATTTGTCCGGCAATTAATACGACTGGTCGCTTAATCGCTGACTTGGGGTACAACTTCCATTGATGATTAAAGCCTTTTGCGAAAAAATCGTATATATATATCTGTATCTGTAAATAAATTAAATGCAACGAACATGCCCGTCTAACGAACGATTGTGAACTTTGAGAGCCATGCGTTGCAAAAGAAAGTTTTCTTTCATGCAAATACAAAAAAAAAATAAAAATAAAAACAAAAACCAGAAGAAAAACGAAAGTCTGAGTTTCAGTTTGGTTTGCTGGGCTAAGTAAACTTAAAATCACGGAAGCGGTTTCAAAAATTAACATACCACTTGTTTTGCATTCCGAGGAATTCTTTTTCTGAGGCTGCTGCCTGAGACACACTGGCCTGTTGCTCAATTAAAAGCAAATCAAGATAGCAATTTAACAGCAAGATCATAAATCCGCTTTCGTTACGTGTTAACCGCTTCATATTGTTAAGTTCTTTACACACACCTCGTGTTATTGTTGTGCTTAGCGGCTTTTTTCCCTGTATAACCCAATTAAGGCTAATACTTTCGGTATAAACAATTACGAAACTCAGCCAAGTTTGATCTAAGAAAGCGGATTTGAAGTTCTCTCTCTCTCTCTCTCTCTGATTAATTTTAAATTAGAAACGAAACCTATGCGTTTTAAAATCCATTTATCATTGCAGTTTTTTGAAAATAATAATTCGAAAAACCGGCTAGGTGGATTAATTTAAATGATTGCCGGCTAAATTATATAGTAGAGACGGATTCGAGTTTCGGTTTCTGTTTCAGATTGAGTGTTTTGAGTCAGAAACTGATTCCTCAGTAAGGTCAAAGCGTTTTAATGCAACACCTTGAGAATCAGCGGTCACCACACATAATATATAGTAGTAGAGTAGCAAGCACCACGAATACCATTCGGCCAAAAAAAGAAAACCAGTTTCCCCATGCGACTGTTATTGGTAATAGGTAGGGGAGCAGCCAGCCAGCCAGCCATCCATCTATCCAGCCAGCCAGCTAGCTAGCAGGTAAGAGTGTTGTATGGTAAAATACTGGAAGTGAGAGGTGCTGTTGTGGCGACGTCTTGGGTATACCACTAAACTAAGGTGTATACCTGGGTGGTTCGTGTGAACCGATGGTCAACCGTCTTCCGTCAATGGGGCAACAGAGAGCAACAGAAAGAGAGAGAGCAAAAAAAGAAATACGCGGGTGCCGTATAATTGGCCGGAAAGTAACGTTGACGTTGGCCACTCTTTGCAATTAGGGCCCAACCGGCCATAATGCCAAGAATTTGAGTTTAGCAGTTTGAACCAGTAGTAGAGGCAAGTCAAGTCGATGCCATGGCCATCGGTTCTTGATGGCCTAAAACAAAGGGATCCCACACCCGGATTTCGTTGAATGTTTATGGTGCCCAAGAGCCAAGAGCCAAGAGCCAGTCGGGCAGGCAAGGCACACATGCAAACCTGCCACACAGAACCTCTGGCAGTGGCACGCAATGTGGCATAAAGTTAAGAATAGCAAATAGGTAACAACAATATTTGTGGGATGAATGCGAAACCAGTTGGTACACCTTCAAGATACTCTACATGCTCTTAGATATACATATATTGCGGTTGCGCCTCTAAAAACAATGAAACTTCCAAGTTTTCTACACAATCTCAAGTAAAAATATAACAAATTGTTTGGTTTCTGATTAGGACTATTCATGAAGATAAGAAAAGTAAACAATTCATGGGAATATAAGTATAAAGAATAGTCAGATTTATAAACGATAAGAGAAGATACATAATAATAATAATAATAATAATAGGGAGCAATGGAACCTGAGAAGGTGTGCTTATTTAAACTGATTTCTCTACAGGAAATCGGCGAGCTATTGAATGGAAAAGGAACACAATGTTTGTACGTGACATGCGGAATCCAATGCAATGTACTTTCTTTACTGAAATGACGCGTTGACCTTTTTGGGTGAGCTGCGATTATGAATCTCATTTCATTCAGTCATCAAAAATGGACAAACGATCGTTAAATGCAAAGGTCAGACAAAGAGTCACGAATCATTATACAGTTTGTACTGTATAACATCAACTCCGATGCGTAAACTGAATAAAGAATGGAAACACTCCGACGCTATCTCTCTATGCAACGTCATATAGAAATCCGGAAAAATTTGGTAGTTTTTGGAAACGAAATAAAACGAAGAGTTAAAGACCAGAACGTGCTGGTGATAAGATAATGGATTATCAGAACCCTTCCCCATATACAAGCAGCAACCACATATATTTTCCTGACAGTGACTTTGCCCCAAAATGAATATTACCATATATCGCCGCCCTGGTGGCAAATTGCATGTGAAACGCTTGAAACCTCTCCTGCAGCATTATAAATAAGGCCTTATTTATTTACTTTTGGTTCTTGCGAATGGCCAGACAATTTAATTTATTTGCCTGCATTAGGGAAAATAACATATGAGGAGGAGGGACAACAGCAGCATGGAGAGCATGGGAGAAAGGGCACAACGGAGGCGGAACAAAGGCATGTCAGTGAGAGAACTACAACTAAGTTCTTCCCATTCTACAGATAGATAGTGAGTCAGATGAGGGACTCGAGATTGTCTGGGGAATTTACACGCTAAAAAAGCTGGTTCCTAGCCCAGTTCGCCTGGGAACTAATTAATGTAATTAACTCTGAATACTTAAAGGTGTTTGTTTGTCCTATCAAATTTCCATTTAATTATTATAAGAAATATATACCATTTAATTAACCTATTAACTTTTAAATGCAAACAAATATGGAAAATAAATTATAGTCAGCTGCTTCAGACTGGTCAATTTATCATTCAAGTGGAACTGGAACAAGCCAAACTATAATCATTTTTGATTTTAAAAACTTACTTTGTGTACATTTTTGATTTAATTTTTGTGTATGACATATGACATAACATAACATGCAATATACTTTGGAAAAGTTCAAAAATAACATGTTAATCTTTTTTATATAAAACGCAAGTCTATCAAATAATAAAATCGGACCCCTATGGGCGGAAATATATGGAAATCTGTGGACACATTGCTCAACCGACCGATGTCAAAGTTTTCAGAGATTTCAGTGACATTTCCTATTAATAGAAGGAAATATTCATTTCCCTATATATAGAAAACTGCAGAGATATGACATATCATATACATACATATGCATCCTTATATACAGTGCACATTCTGGAAGCTTTAAACACTTGACTAGCTGAACATAAAAATTCCCAAAAGGGCCTATTAATCTTCCATTTCGAGCCTGCACTGTACTTGAATTCCATTTTTCCAAGTTATTGCATGCGTGTAGAAGAATAAATCACATTAAAAATTAAACACAACCCATAGAAACTTTTCGATATGCTTTGAAGAGGACTTGATTGGGTTGGTAGGTGGGCTGGGAGTTGGTTGGTTAGGTTTCTTTTTTCCTAGTGAGTGTGTGCTCAGTGGGCAGCAGCAGCACCACCAGTAGTAGTTTATAAAAGGATGGTAAAGAGCGAGTGTGTTACTTACATTGAGCATCCAAATGGTCATCTCCTCGAGGACAATGTCCATGCTGCTGTGGGCTCCGCTGAGGGTGTAGTCGACGGCATTATCGCTGCTACGTCCACGCGGAGCAGTGGCCATTGTGGTGGCAAAAGTGGTCCGACGCCTCACGGGAGATGTGGAGGATGTGGATGTGGATGTGGATGTGAATGTAGATGCGGAGGGTGTGGTCGAAAATGCGGACGACGTTGTAGCCGTTGCCGTTTCTGTTCCTGTAGTTGGTGTTGTTGCTGTTGGTGTTACTGCTTCTGATGGAGATGATGTAGCTTTAGTCCCTGGATTTACTGGATTTGCGGACAATGTCTCTCGAGTTTCGGTTTCTGCTTCTGTCGCACATGTTTTTGCTAATGTTCCCGATGATTTGTTCGATGCTGATGTGTTGGCCAATGTTGGTTGGCTCGCCTCGAATAAGCCGAGTAATTCCAAATCCCGTTTGCAACAGCAGCGGCAAATTCGTGGCATATTCAGTAAATCCTCATCAGCGGACGGCAGAGAAAGTTTCTCTTTGGCTGGTGCATGTGTAATTGCAACTTCAGCTGTTGCACTGACTTCTTTCTCTTTTACCTCAGTCGCTTTCATTGTTGTTGTTGTTGTTGTTGTTTCTGTTGTTGCTGATAGTGTTGAATTCGCGCAGAAGAAACTGCTACGTCTTCTTCGTGTGGCACTCATTATGTTGTTGTTTCTGTTTTAATTTTTTTGTATTTCAATTAACCCTTTTGTGGGGATATTTTAAGCGCCAGTTTTTCACACGTGAAAACACCCACGATATTGAGTTTAGTCTTTTGATTTTTTTTTCTTTTCTTATATTTCTCTCTTGCGTTGACGGTGCTTTCGTTTCGACCACAAGTCGTCGTCGACGATGGTGGAGACCTAAAAAACCAGAATGGGCCAGAAAGAGACATGAGAAACAGATCGGTTGGGAAACCTTTCGCCGCCTGAGACATGGTGCGTGAGTGTGTGTAAGTTCGGAATCGAGCGAGCATTCGAGTGATCGAGCAGCAGTCGAGTATTGCAGTGTTCGTGTGAGCCAGTTTCCTTTTAGTAGGCCAAACAAGAAACTGAATCAGAATATACATATATAACTTGCGACCAAGCTCATTAGCAGTGGAAAAACAAACGCGAACTCCGGTTTTTCTGCTTTTCAGTTCCCAAAATCTACACACTAAACCCAGCTATTCGGTTTTTAGGTTTCGAAATTCTACAGAGAGATTCGTTTGAAGTTTTTTCCTTATTTTTTTCTTTTTAAAGTTAACGAGGCAGTTTTTTTTTCGACTTTTAAGGATACTGGCTTAACTGCTTTAGTGATTTAATGCTTTTCTACTTTTCAGTTTTAAAAAAGACAGTAATTGAATTTTTTCTTTTATCAATTTAGTTAGATTAGGTTGGACTTTGGTTTTGAAACTCTACACAGCATTTTACAGTCTTTTCTATTTGAGTTTTCAAAAAACAACGCGAGTTTTGATTTAAGTTTTTAGTTTTAGATTTGATTCAGAGAAAAAATGTTTAAGATTTTAGTTTTTTGCAAAAAGTCTACGCATGATCAAAGTCTACACTCTAAATAGCGTGTCGAGATTTTAGTTTTCAATTTTCCATAACAGTCTACACGAATTGGAGCATAAATATTTATAGTTTTTAAGATTTATTCCAAAAATCTCTAGCTCAGCATGGGGGGGGAAAATTTCGATTTCGAGATTACCGCATGTCTATTTTGGTATGTTTTGGCTTTTGGAGCAAAAGTCTACACTTTATTGTTGGTGTCAAAGCTATAAATTCTCCCACTTCCGTTTCTTTTTTTTTGTGTATAATCAGTTTTCGGTTAAAATTCTACAGCCTGCCCTTGTGGAGCAAAAATAAACTCTCTGGCGAAAATTTCTAGCCTTTCGTATCTAAACCGCTAGAAAGCGATTTTCGTTGGTTTTCTTTGTGACTTTGATGGTGTTGTTGTTGTAGTAGTAGTAGTAGGAGCAGTAGTTGTAGTTGTTGTAGTTGTTACAGCCGATGTGAGAGATTTTCTCGAAATGATCGAAATTATATTTTTGGCGGCGGCATTTGCGCTCGCACACTTGCACAATCAGACGGACACCGAAACACACACTCACACACAAACACGCACGCAGGCACATATGTAGATGTGGCTACGGAATTTAAATTGATAAATTAAATGCAAATAAAACGCACCACAAGTACCGGAATTTAAGTACGTCGGCCAAGTTATCCGTTACTTTTGCCAATTAAATTTGATTGCCGTTATTGCGCGAACGACAGATCAAACCACAAAACAAAAGGCGGCGCCGCGTTCCGATTTAGAAATCTTTGCGAAATACTATGATTATATGGAATTTCAAATTCTCCACAGAGCGCCAACTCATAATTTCTCTTTTCTAACGTTCGGATCGTGCGCTGTTAACCGTCGCGTGTGGATTCTGAATCGAACTGAAACCGCTTCTCACTGAACACACCACTTTTGTTAGTTTTCGAAAAAAAAAAACCCACCATAGGTCCCACCGCGAAGGCAAAACAAACAAAAAACTTAAACCGACAAAGTTGCACGTGTTGGACAGGGTTCGAGAGAGGTTTGAATCGAACGGGGTTTGAAGAGCTTCCTCCCAACACAACACTTAGCGCGGGCTCAAACCGTGGTGAATTTCCTCTCATTAGTTCTGCCTTAAACCAATTATAAACTTGATTTATAAAATTGCTTCTAAAAATATTTGAAACTCTATTTTTTAAATAATAGTTGCAGATATATGAATTTAACTCCTCCATATGTTCTCTTTAAACAACCATATTGTACTAAACTGAGATGTCAAAAACAATAACTGAACATGAATTTCGTAAATTAGCAATAAATTCTAGTCACGCCTCTTCAAAATTCGATTTACACGGCGGGTTTTCCGGTGTTCACGGTACGCAAGAAAATTCCCCGGTTAGTTTGCAAAACATAGCTCCTTCCTGTTTTTCATTTTTTTTTTTTGTCTTTTGCCAGCTGGCTGGCAACATGACACATTAAATTTTTCACATTTTCCGGTGTTCATGTGGGCAAGAAATTTTGAGAGTTCAAACGCAGAAATAGTTGCACCCCTTTCTATACTCCACTCCTTCGCATAACAAATTTATTTATTTTCAGCAGGATGACACATTCTTCTACCAAAATATGTATATTTATATAACCATCTCATCTTGACCCTTTTTTGTTTAAAAAAAAAAAAAAAAACAATAACTGACTGCACAATATTGGTGCTAAAAAAAGAAGCAGCAGCACAGCTGTAATAAATTAATTCTGGTACATTGAATATTGTCGCTGGATAAAAATGTCTTAACCTACTAGTCCATTTACTTACAAAGACATTAGGAGGAGCGACCACCAGCTGTCAAAATTGGTAAAAATGGACCTGCAACGCTTACTGCTTACTGCTTACTGCTTAGCATAATTTAATATTCCCTCCTTAGTGCTGTACTTCTAATTGGATTGTGTAAGGGCCATAAAGATAAACTTTTAGGCTATAAAAAAAAATATGAAAAGCAAAATCATTGCAAGAAGGTAAACTTTAAGTTATGAGAAGTAAACGCAGAGGATAAAAAGTTATAAGCCCCAGCGTCTACGAATAATTCCACAATAATCCCGAGGACATTCTTTTCAAAGTTTAAACCTTTTCAGGGTGGGGGAGTGGTATACGTGGCGAGATTTTATTGTTTGCAGAAGAGTGCCTTCGAATGACATTGCCACGTTACTATATGTAGGTACATTAGGTACATGCCACACCACCATAGTTTCCATAGTTACATCTTGTGTTTTAAGCGACGGCAAGCCGTGTTCGCCCTGCTAATTTATGCTTTCTGTCTAACTAAATGTGTGAAATATGTAATTCCATTTCTATTGTTTATAGGCTGTTTTAGGTATAAATTAGCATTAAAATTACAGAAGTAGTTTAACTATTAATTAAAACTAAAATGTATTTAAAACACCCAACTTAAACCCCAGAAATCAGCCAGTTTGTTTCCACATTACTGACTAAAAGTGGTCCCTTTTGAGCATTTTACCGAATCTTTATTTGCTGGGAAAAACAAATAGAGGCCTAATTGATTTAATGCTCTTTATTTTACACCATTAGCGCAGAAATTTACCTTAATATGGAATCATTGCCGTCGGCTGTCCTTGCCATGATTTAATTATCGAGGCAGGCGGAAGGCAGGCAGGCTCCGGCTTCTGGCTTCTGGTTGTTGCATGCCGCATAAGGCGCGCATGGCTGTTCAAATTTCTTTGCATGATGACAGAAGCTTGCCAAAGCAAAAAGGGGTTTAAATCTAAGACCATGGGATTAACTGAAATCCGAAATAAAGTGATATCAGTAATCCTGTTAATTAACTAGATTATCTTTTAACTTTATTTAGGTCACATACTCGAGGAAGGGGTTTGAAAACTTAAGCCAGCTAATTGATACTTCACTTAAGGGAATTCGTTTACATTAATAGTTCTAATAAGAAAGAAATTTAAGTCTTAAAAACAGTAGAAATAAAAATATAATGTTTAAAATCAAATCATTTTATTGAAATGGAATGAAAAAATAAGGTTAGAAAAGGAAGAACTAAATTGAAAAATGTCTTTAATATATGGAAAATAAATTCAACTTTAAAAAAGATAACTCAAGCAAGCTTCAAAGAAACAAGTCTGAACCTAATGACTTGAATAACAAAAACAAGTAGCGTAAAATAGCTTTGACAAATGAGGAACAAATCCATCTTATTTATAAAAGTATAGGCCAGAACTCAAAGAGTTAAGATCAAAACAAATGGCTTGGATTAAACGTAAAGTAATGGGTAAAACAGCCTTGACATGTGAATAACAAAAAATATATTCTAAAGGTAAGACATGCATAGTTGTATTTTATTACAAAACCAGTGAGGAATGGCACTCCGTTAACTTTTGAAAAATCACCGAAAGCGGAATGTGGGCGGTATATGCATTAAGCGCAGACTCGAACCTTTGGCAAGAATTTTGAAAGGAATTTGAATTTATACACAACTATGCAGAAAGACAAAGAGAGAGAGATAGAGAGAGAGAGAGAGTGAGAGGGATGGAGTGTGAGAGAACACGTTGAAAAAATCAGCTGTTTTGCGGCACAGCACCAAAACAGAGACAGTGTACAAGTAAAGTGAGAAGGAGAGATAGACAAAGACAGCGAGATAGACAAAGCAGCGAGTGTGTGTGAAAGAGAGCGTAAGCACGCCGCGGGCTTTAAATTTCATGAATGCGAAGCTAAAAAAAAAGGAGAGATGCAAAAAGAAATGCCAACAATGCAGGAAAAGGGTAATGGAGAGAATCGCAACAAAAACAACGGAATATAATAAGAGCGCTTTAAAAGCTCAGTTAAGCGAATTAATTTGCATGCCATTCGCGCGTTCTTGCACTCAAAATGTGAATATGTGGGATGTGGGATGTAGATGTGGATGTGAAAGTGGGTGCCCCCCAGCCCTTTGCCTTTTGCCTTTCCTGCCAATTGTTATTGTGCTCTGCCATTGTTGTTGCGTACTCTTTGTTTTTGCGCTTCATTTCATTCGTCACTTAAATACCCGCTCCCCTTTCCCCCTTCCGGTACGTTTGTCACTTAAGCCCCCGCTCGCCCCTTCTCAATACCCAACATCCATCCATGTGATTTCCACAAAAAGACACTAGAAGCCTCGAGGACTTTCCACTTAGTCTCCTGAAGAGAACTCGCTACTTGAGATTTTTCAGGAAGTAAGACAAATAATTGCCGTGGCTCGATTTAATCCGCTATTTAAGCCGCTTATTCGCAGGCTTAGTACTTACATACATTTTCTAGGTATCGTTCTCGAAGAAGTTAATCCTCCGCTGATAACGCCGCCAGCACAGGCCGGCGGCCAAATGAACAACTTCCATGCAACACAACAATGAATGCCGGTTCTTGTTTTGATTCGTTCACAATAAAATTCTTTGTTAATACTTATTTTTAAAAGTTTTACGAAATTAGATTTCTTCAATTTTCTGCTAATTATTTTAAGCGCAAAGCACGCCACACAGCAAAGTTACAAAAAAAATGTTGTCCCTTGCACGTTAGTGATGTGCAGGCAGAGTGCCCTATATTAATCGTTGCAACAATGACCCGATGTTTTGAAAGAAATATAAACTTTCATCAATAAAACTTATATATTTTTAAAGAAATAGAGAAAAATGTAATAAGGAATTGTATTGTTTTGAGATTATCCTTAACAAAACATTATAATCGAAAACGTTGAGTTAACATTCCATCTCTAACGCGCGCAGAATAACATATTTAAATTTTTTTTAATTCAATAAGTAAGATTTCGATTTTCTGTTAACCAAACATTTATTTTTGTATATGAAAATGCTAACTTTATAGATATATTTAAAATGTTTTTTTACATCGGAAGTTTAAGTAAATAAAACTTAAAGTCATACTTTGTTAGGCGATGCCAGACTGATAAAAATTAACAGTGTGCTGTTAGCTGCGCTTTATCAGCATGCGGCAGCCAGGTGGATTTTAAAAAACTCCACAAACGACCACACTGGGCACTTAAAAACGTAAACAATTGAAAGAAATTTACAATTGCCGCTTTAATATTCTAAAATGTCCATGCAAAAGGCCAAAATCATTGATCAGAAGGAGTACCTGAAGAAGTACCTCTCCGGCGACAAGGAAAAGAAGAAGAAAAAGAAGGAGAAGAAGCACAAAAAGGCCTCAGCGAAAGTCAAAATCATCGATGACGATGCCTACGAAAATAATGACCAAGAAATGGACGAGGATCTGTTGCTGGGCGGCGAGGATGCGCCCCAAATTGTGGCCGAATACATCGAGGAGAATCCCAATGCGCGTAGCAAGTGGCGCAACATTGCGGTCAAGGATGAAATCAAAGAAGAGGGCGAGGAATCCTCGCCAGCTCCTGCCATTCGCATCAAACAGGAACCCTTGGATGAAGAGCAAGAGATGTGGGGACGCAAGGCTTCAGCGGTCAAAATTAAAGATGAGTTCTCACCCTCCAGAAGAAGTCCACCGGTAAAAATCAAACAGGAGAAACGCAGCAGCTCTAGGGATTTGAGCCCAGCAAGGTCAAGAAAGCCATCGAAACGAGAAAAAAGTCCTCGCAGAAAAGCAAGAGATCAATCTGCAAACCGTAGGAGGGGCGATAGCTCGGATCAGAGTCCTCCCAGAAGGGAGAGAGATGCCGATCAGTCTCCACTACGCAGGAAACGTCGAGATTCCGATCAAAGTAGGAAAGCAAATAGTTCGCCAGCCAGAAAAAGACGGGACTCAGATCAAAGTCCTCCAAGAAAACGAAAAGAAAAGAATTCACCAACTAGAAGAAGAAGAGATTCCGATCAATCTCCACCTAGACGACGTAGAAGTATCTCCGATCAGAGTCCGCCCAGGAGACGTAGGGACAAAGATGCAACTCCACCAAGAAAGAGAAGAGATTCCGATCAAAGTCCACCTAGAAGACGTAAAGCTGACGATCAATCTCCACCAAGGCGTAGGAGGCAAGACTCAGATCAAAGTCCTCCCAGGAAACGTAAAGACGACGACCAATCTCCAGTTCGAAGGCGAAGGGATTCCGACCAAAGTCCACCTAGAAGACGTAGAGACGAGCAATCACCACCAAGAAGGAGAAGAAATTCCGATCGAAGTCCCCCGAGAAGACCGAAGGATGCAGATCAATCGCCACCAAGAAGAAATCGCAACGGCGACCAAAGCCCACCCAGGAAACGAGACAAATCCCCACGAAGACCACACGATTTCAACCAAAGTCCACCCAGAAATCGAAGGTCCTCAAGCAGAGGTCGAGAACAGAGTCCCCCTCCTCGTAATCGCTTCAAAGAAGAGAGAAAGAGCCGCTGGGCCCAGGCATCGCCCAGCAAATCGGATTCGCCACCTCCCACGCATAAGCCAAAGTCCACCAAGACTTTAGATGGAAAGAAAGCTGGTCTGCAGGATGCGCAATCCTTGAAAAAAGAAACTGATGAAAGGCGACGACAGGAACATGATCTTTTTGAGAAAATGTCCAGCGAGATTTCTGGCCGAGATGGGGACGTACAGGTCCGCAGCACCCGCAGAAAAGGAAACAGGGCTCGGGAAGCCGCCAACGAGGATCCCGCCGAGCAGAGTCGCAAGGAGGCACACGAAAAGAAAAAGAAGGAACTGTACGACCGTTGGGGTAAGGGGCTAAAGCAAATCGAAGATCAAAAGTCCCGCCTAGAGGAGATGGCTCATGAAGCATCTAAGCCTGTGGCTCGCTATGCCAACGACGAGGATCTGGACAGGCATCTGCGGGAGCAGGAGCACGCTGATGATCCCATGTTGGAGTACATGCGCCAAAAACGTAAGAAACGCGATCAGCAAGACAACAAACCGGTTATTCCGAAGTACGAGGGCAGCTTCCCGGAGAATCGTTTTGGTATCCGCCCAGGATATCGCTGGGATGGTGTGGATCGATCCAATGGGTATGAGCAGCGATGGTTCGACAAGCAGAGTGAACGGCGCGCGGTGCAGGACGAGGCCTACAAGTACAGCGTGGAGGATATGTAGATGTTCCAAAAATGTTGTTGTTTACTTGTTGCAATAAAGATTTTACAACTGCCTGTAAAAAACAATTTAAAGAGTAAAAAAATTAAATGCTTTAGTTGTGTTATCGATAGCATTATTTTGAAGTGGCCGCCAAAGTCTGCTTGCCACCTGCAACACTGCTTGCGCGCGCGATGCAACCCTGTGTGTAGAATAGCGGAGCAAAAGCAAATGGTAAATAGTCTTCATCTACACCTGCGACCTGCTTGTCGCTCCTAAAAAATCGTGAAAAACCAGAAAATAATTCGTTTAAATTGTGAAAACTCATTGCAATTATAAAGTTTAAAGTGTACGTCATCTTTGAGCTATAAAACCTTATCGGGTAAGTGACGTTATCTGCTAGAATAATGAATTCTAAACTTTTTTGCTTTGTAAGCACTAGAGTATTATTTTCTACGTATGTATGTATATATGTATGTATATGTGTAAATGTTGATTCTGCTTTGCTTTGTTGCTGTTTCGTTACAGCGAACAAAGCGTAACAAATTCTGTATGTATTTGTGTGTTGGTGGGTGTGATGAGGGGAGAGGGAAATGTGTTAGCGTGTGCATTTTGCCCCGCCCCCTTCAATTAGCATAAAACGCTCTTAACCGCAACAACAAAAACAATAAACAAACGTGGTTGCTTGCGTTTATCTGTAGATTTTTGGTGGTTTATTTTTGTCTTCCTTTCAGCTGCTTTTGCCCTTCGCCTTCAACCGCAATTGTCGGTCAGCCGATGAAAAACCTGTTTGTTTTGTTGATTGTTGTGATTTTGTTGTTGCTGTTGTTGCTGTTGTTGCTGTTGCTGCTGCTGGTGGTGCTGCACTGCAATTTCCTTGGCGCAAAATTGGCGCGAAAAGCTTTCCAGCTGCAGAAACGTGGAGAGATGTTGAAATGTAGAAATGTACCATTCCAATCAGGCATTTGGCGCATGCACGCGCCTGTCGTTCGTTGCAGCTTCCATCTCTTTCGCTCCTAACAAGATGCAAATACCGCAATCAGCATTAGCCCCATCTCTTTCCCGTTGACACACATACAAACTTCCGCACATCGTATTCATTCATGACACTGCTATTTACTCCTGCTCTACCCCTCCCTCCGTCTATTGTTTTTTCCTATTCCTTGTGTGCCATTTCGTGGTCTGTTTTTATTTCATTTCACTTTGCATTTATTGCAATTGTTAAGATTATTGTTTTTGCATTCTAACAAAGTCAGTTTAACTTTGCTTACAAATGCAAATTTAGATTACTTACGCGCTCTGTAAATTCATTTTTTATTGATTTTTTTTATAATAGAATTACTTTTAAACAATCAAGTGATATATGTATTTATGTACATAAATGCATACATACATTATGTACATAATTACATAAAATAAAATGTTAAAAAATCTGTGACATTAAGTTTAACAGATTAGACAGATAGTAGTAGCTATGCTAGTTTTAGAGTTATTTCTTTATTATGGTACACTTTTCAATTACACTTTCTCACATTTTCAATTGTTAGAAATTCCTATAAGAGTGGTGCAGCTTATGTTGATATTAACATTATTCATTTCTTATTTTTGACCATGAAAAGTTCCTTCAACTTTTCATGGCCAATATTTTTTGTAAATCTTTCTTTTAAATCAGATAGCCAGATCGGTGCTTGGCCTTGTTTGCCACATGGCCCCCCAAAAAAAGATGAGGAAATCCAGAAGATGAAGGCAAAGACACCCCAAAGATTTTCGCTGGTCCAAAAACCAACCCCCAAAGCTAACTCAACCCCTGTCCTTGGCACTTCCTTGTGCATTTCCTTGGCTTTTTCCGACCTTTTAGGGTGCTTCCAAGGACCTACTGACATGACATTGTAATGGCTTAGAAATTTACACACATCCCATGCTGAGAGCGTGTGTTCCTGCACCCCTTACAATTCTCAGATTGATCCTCCCCCTTTGGCCTAGACTTGGAATATGAGGGGTTGATTTTGGTTTTGACACTGGGGAAAATAATGGTTTAAATTAAAGACATTAGCAGAAATGTATTTTTATAGATGTCAGTATTATTTTCCTTAAAAATATAATTTTAATGTGACAAAAGACCGATTTAGATAATATATAAAACCAAAACATAATTATTTAGAATCTAAAAATGTATATTTGCTTCAGATTTTTTGCAGTGTCCTCTTTTTGACACACTGATCCAGACTCTTTAAAGCGTTTTTTAATTCCTTTACATGGTGAAACAGCCCAGAGCGGAGTTATTCAAATTCCCTTTGTTTGAAGTCCCGTTGAATGGAGAGGGAATTTCATTTCGGCTGGTTTAAAGGAATTTCCTCGATACCACGTGCTTAGATTTCGGGATTTCTAATGAGTCACGGAATTGGGGTTGTTGCTAGGGAAGCTTCTGGGTTCTGAGTGGAGGAACTCGAGCTGAAACTGGATTGCCAAGGAGATTTCTTCCAATCAGTTTTTCTTTGCGAGGGGAAAAACTAGCTTTCCTTCGATTTCATATTAATTCCTTAATTATTACCTCACCGACTTCAAGCTGGTAGGGAAACAGCGAGAGAGGGAGAGTAAGGGGAACCCCCGTAATACACCCTGCTAGGCCAACAAATAACCCGAGGAAAACAATGGAATTTTCATAATTTTCCTTGCCCATCTGGTTTTTCCTTCTTTTGTGTACCTTATCCTCTTAGAACAATGCTGGGGTAAAAGCGCCCCGCTGGAAAAACTAGTTTCTCCGCTTTTCTTCAATCGGTAAAAGCAGAAGGCAAATGTCTTGTAACCAGTTTTTGCTAATTTGTGCACACGTGCAAATCCTTGGACAAAGGATTCTTCAAGGGAAACTCCTTCCAGCCCCCAGCCCTAGGCAAAAAAAGGAAAGTGTTAGGTTTAAAACGCCGCCGGCCAATGACACAGGAAATTAAGGTTAATTCATCAAAAATCTCAAAAAGTTTTCTTCAAGATCCGGAAGGAAAATGCAGTTTCCTTGGATCATTTGTCATTCCAATAATTAGATTCTTGTTATGACATCTCAGGGTTCAAAGTGCGGAGCATCAAGTGGTGTCGAGATGAGTCAGCATTATGGTGATCTTATATGAGAAAATTGGATGGTTATTAATGAGAGTTTAAGATGGGTTCAAGTACTACAGTATAAGTTAAATTTGGGATCAACTGGGATTTCCACAATGTATAAAATGGCATTAAAAGTTTTAAGAAGATTGTTTTAAAAGTAACCTAAAAATTATAATAAGATAAAGTAAAATTGTACATAAACGAGGTCGTAACTGAGAAGATCAGAAGAGATATATATATAAGTAAGTGTTATGATCATATATCCATATAAAAAACTGACCTTAGCTGATCCTCAATTGGGGAAATCCCTATCCAACAATTCCCTTAGATAACCCGTTGAAACTCGACCTTCTGCTCCAATTTTGAACCATAAATCAAGCGCCTTTGTTCCTTAGATTGTTCTACTTACCGAACTGCTTACAGAACTTTGTAAGACAGACAATGGAGAGAGATGAACCAAAAAACAGGACTTATGAAGAAGACAGCCCGCTGCCCTAGATAATCATGGAAAGCATCCCGAGACTCCTTTTTTTATTATTTGCTCGAATGCCAAATTTCAATTTCCAGTTTGCTTTCGAACAAAGCACACGCATATGGATCAAAGGACATTAACTTTGGTGTTGCCGAGGGGAGAAGCGAAGACAGCTTGAAGAGATCTGCCATGGATTCGGAACAATAAAAATAAGACGGGACCAGGACAATGATATGGTAGCGACTTAACTACCCTTGGTAGTTAAAGTTATACTTTATGTTTTTCCAATTTTTCACGTTGCCAGTAAAAACAGTTCCGATTCTTTTCATTCTACGAATTTGTTTTGTTAGTACTTTTAGGTGCGCTTTCCCCTTCCGGATTTCGCTTTCCCATCTAACCCATCATTTCAATAGAAATGTAAATAAGAAATTGTAATAATAATTGAAATGAGTTTTCCTGTAAGGCAAAAGCAATCGTAACGAAACGGAACCACCGAATGGATCTTCCAGGGTGGTTGCAAGAACTCATTTTAAGAAACTGCATGCGGCAACCCACAGTTAAGTATGTAATTTTCTGCCATCCATATGCAGATTTCGGGAAATATAACAATTCAGTTAAAAAATAATAATAAGAGGGGGAAAGGAGCGTACTACCGCTGACATCGATGATTTATAAACTGTTTTTTAATCGCCTGTTTCGCTGCTGGTCGCCGGAATTTCCATACCCATTTGAATTTCTGTTTCGCCAAACAATTTCAATCGATGTAGATAATTGAGCGTTAAAGAGCGTGGAAAATGCAGAAAAGGGGGAAAATGCCAAGAGGGGGAACGAAAGCGGAAAATTAAGTGGAAAGTGACTTTTTAAATAGTCTAAACTGTACTTGGTTGAAGTTAAATTAATGATTAGGCACGTAAGGTGAAGGAAAATTAGTATTGTGGGTAACTTTTCAAGGATAAGACAAGATTTTGTACAAAGTAAGACTAACCAAATAAAGGATCAAAGAAAATTTACAAATCCAAAAAAACCTTTAATAGCCTTTAAGAATTGTTCGAAATTCAATTATGCCCAACTCTTCCAGTGAAAAACAATTTCACTTAAATTTTTATGAACTTTACTAATGGATTTCCATTTAATCGTTTTCCTTGAAATCCATTTCTCCAGAAAGCTTTTTATTTTTGCTGGCTCTGGCCCCCTGTGCAGCTCATAAAAAGTATCCATTTTACTGTACTTATTTTTTGTCGATTTTCTATCCTTTTTTTCGGGTTGCATATCCACGATTTTCCTTGGCATCTAAAATTCAGCGGTGGGAGAAAATTCATTCACTCATTCATGGAAGGAAACTCCTTGCCGCTTAGGGCTTTTCCACCCCGCGTCGTTTGCTGGCCAAACAAAAAGTTAAATCGCCTAGGAAAAACGTCTGTGAAGAAGAGAGTAGATTTGGCGGTATATACATATATATATATATATATCCTTGATGATTCAGGGTTACTTTTCGGTGGTCTTTCCACCCCCCAGCACGCT